GCTACAATGGAAATGGACACAACACTCAAAAAAACTGAATCATCTTGCCATAACATATTAGACAGCACTCATTCACTCACCTACCCTTTTGTTAGGTACACCTTGCTGAAACTGGGTTGTACCTCTGGGTTGTTTACACCAAATTCTAACATTACCATCCACATTGTGTAGCAGAAATCAAAACTCAGCACACCAGGAAACAGTTTTTTCAATATCCTATTGTCCAATTTGGGCAAGCCCATGCAAACTGTAGACAGGGTGACTCAGTTTGTGCAATCTGAGCCTGCAAATTGCAGACAGGGTGAAACAGGGTGACACACACTAAGTGACACTCTCTGTGTCACTGGCCATTTACCTCTGACCTCTGGCATCAACAAGGTATTTTTGCCCAGACATCCGATACTCACCGGATACTTTTTCATTTTCAGACTGTTCTACAGGTGCGTGTGCAGTGAAATCCAAATAGATCAGCAGTTTGTGAAACACTCACACCGGCCATCTAGCACCAACATCCATGCAACATTCAAAGTCACTGAAATCACCTTTCTTCCTTATTCTGTTGCTCAGTTTGAACTTCAGTGACTCCAACCATGCCTAATTTCCTAAATACACCGAGTTGTGATTGGTTGCTTAGAAATCTGCGTAAATAAGTGTACCTAAAAGTGGGTGGTGAGCGTACACATACATGTAGAGTTGCTTTGTTTAAACTGAAATCACAAACTACAATTTCAATCATTTCACTGCCCTCTGGTGGTGGATCAGTGGAAATAAAAGCCACCTTGTCCGTAGTCCTTCCCAGTCACAATAGATTTGGCTCCAAGGAAGTTGAGCTGGCGACACAACACCTGGGCGTCAGCCATGTCCCAGTTGTCGTCACACACTGTTCCCCATTTCCCATCATGGTAGATTTCCACACGGCCCTCTGACACGTTCTTAGAGCCAAACAGCCTCACATCACCTTCCCGTGGCTCATGATTTCTGTCTATTCAACATAATAATATATTCTTTTTTAAAAAAGCCAGAGTAAATACATACATTTTTATTTCATATTGAACAATATTAATATTGTTAGCTCATTTTGCATCCTGTAAAAGATCCATTAAAGCAAAATAAAACAAAAAACTATTTTTATGACACTCTATTACAACCCTGAATTTTCTATTTTGCTTTTTGGCTTTTGTTGCTCTCTGAACCTTTGAATTAATTAAACACACTTTTATTTATATTTTGCCAAGAAACTACAACAATGAAATGACCGTCTATGAGTAAGCACTGGGTGACAGTGGGGAGGAAAAACTCCCTTCTAGCAGGAAGAAACCTCTAGCAGAACCAGGGAGGGGCAGCCATCTGCCACAGCAGCAAGACATTAATAATAACTGACAATAACTAATGATTAAATACATATTGGATAAACAGAGTGAAAACACTATTTCTCCTGTATCTTGGTTGAGATAAAACAAACAAAAAAGTAAACAGGCCTTTAATTCTAAAATCTAGTTAATGACTAAATCTGCCTCCCTTTTTAGGAGACACAACCTCGTGAGCTATTTGTTCTGAAAACACTGAGAAAGCAATCAACCGCTGCTGTATCCCACAAATGACTTCATTCTGTGTATAAAAGGTGCCTGATATGAAGTACATCAGTTAGAAACTATTCCAAATCAGCCAGTACATTCATCAAAGATAGTCAAACAAGACTGCATGTAAAGAGAGCACAGTCAGAGCTTCAGGTCTCCAAAGCCCGAGAGCCGTTACGTAACTAACTAAATGATCATAGTCATTACATAACTTTGATACTAACGTATATTATTTACACTTTTTTATTATTATGTGTAATTATAAAACTAGGAATATACTTAAAAGTATTTGTGGTTTGGATTACTCACTCAAAATGTCAAATTTCCAGAGACATACAGAAGTAGGAGAAGACAAAGACTATTTCGAGGCGGGAGCATTTCCAACAGCTAGTGCACGACTCTAACACAAAGACAAAAAAATAAGAAGCGGCAAATGACACATGCTCCATCTGCTTTACTTTACGTCCTAAAATTATCCTCCAAAGAATAAATAATCAACCTGCTCAGTACTTCCAAAGTGTTACTATATATTTCCATGAGATAGAGAGGAAGATCTATTCAAATTCAAACTGATAGCACAAAAAATTAAAAGCTGAAACTTTAAATACAAACTTACCTAAATCCTTACGTGCAATAAAAACGCATTACCTTCTTTCCTGTGGTTACGAAGTTGTGTTTGAGGTCTGTGAGCACATACCTGATTGCACAACTGCTCTTGGTTTAACAGGAACATGTTCAAAACACAATGTCTAACTTTGGCAGATTGTGTTTTGAACATGTAAAAAGATATGACAGGACTCAGAAAATAGGAATTACGATTTTACTCAGTCACCTCCCTCCACACACACACACACGCACACACACACACACGCACAAAAAAACAAACAAAACTACATAGGATAAAATCACCAAAACAGTCTTCAAACAATATACAGGATTAAAAACAAGGCTTTTGCTATCCCACTGACAATACTCGTGTGGACAGAGTGATACTGTGGAAAATGGAGCAAAGGGGAAAAAACCTTAGACCTTCTGAGTGTGTATAGTGTGTGCATAAAGATGAATTTATCAGGGGAAAAAACCAAAGCAAATCACAGTCTGATAAATTAGCTTTTGTACATTCATTATAAGAAAGGCTACAGTACTTTTTAAGCCCACATTTGGCCTAGGAAGAACGCAGTCCACCACAACCCGATCCGCACATTCTTGAAACTTTACTCTTTCAGCCATTAGTTCTTTTATTTGTATTGACGATGTCGCTTCAACAGTTGGAGTTATGTGTTTTAGACTCAATGAGGAAGCAGCGAGTGCAAAAAGTTCAACAGTGACTGTAAACAAACTAGAACCACAGTGAAGTGGCCTCAAGTGTGAGTGTCTCTGTGTGTGAGCCCTCTATATAAACTCCAAGCCCTCATATTTTACATCCCCGATCTTAGTTTCAGGCAAAAGGATGCGCCCATCAAGTGTGAAGGCCATAATGTACGTGGCAATCTTCCCAGCGTCCTCTTCAGACTTGAGCGCCAGGATGATCTGGTCATCAGTGTTGGGGACAAACTTGAAGGAGGAGAAACCGTGGGTAGGATTAAGTACACCCACTCGGCTGACTTTGATGTCGTTGAAATCTGGCGAGCAGCTAAGGACGAGGTTCGTGCCGCGTCTCTCGTCCGCCGTCTCTTCGTAGCGCTCGCTGCTCGCGCGGCGAGGAAGGAAAAACCAGCGCTGTAGGGTGTCGCTCCATGCTGCAGACTCGTGAATCAAATAGCCTGAGGACATTCGGGGAAATACGGTAATGAGTAAAGCACGGAGATGGAAACGGAGGCGGCTGTTAGCAAGATCAGATCTGCGTCTTTACCTGGTTGCTCTATCCCTGCGGCGGATTTCAGGGATTTGTACTTGGGAACCCAGTTCTTGTGCTGTACGTCGCCTCTGAAGCCCACGACTTTCACCCATTCTGGATTGTTGTTGACAAATTCGCCTTCAGTGGTGGTCCACTCTTTCCCGAGACCGCCAACATACAGGTGCTCGTCCTTCACTGCCAGCCATTCGGCTTTGAATCCTATCAGACGAAGGCACCATGAAAATGCAAAGCAAATGAAAAGTGGAAACAAATCATCTAAAAGTACACAAGATCGAACTGTTTATAACAGAGATATCAGTGCAACACCAACCTTTTGCAACGCTGCCATCGCCATCGGGTAAGATGACCCAGGGTACAGCCTTTTCTCCATCTATATGGTAGACTACACCCGTTCTGTCATCGACACTGTAAAGCTTCCCATTGAACACCACCAGCTCAGACAGCTCCATGCCCCTGCCTTTCTCCGACAGGTGGCTTTCCAGCACCACCCTGTCAACATCCCATTCAACAGCCACCTTGTCACCGCTCTCTGACACCAGCAGGTACCCCCGCCGCATGTAGCTGATCCACGTCATCTTCTTGTCGCTGAGAGAGCTGGTGTCCAGGTCAGCGATGACGCCGATGCGATAGCGGGTGCCCTGCGACGTGCGCTCGGGTGGACTGAGCGGATAGGTGTCATTGTACTGCAAATCCGACTGGTGGCCGTCGCTCGGGTTGACTCTCCAGCTGCGTGAGCCGTAGGAGCGGTACCGTAAACCCGAGCTGAAGTGCATGAAAAGCAGCAGGATTAAGGCCACAGAGCCAGCTACTGCCACGATGGGCCTCCACTTAAGGCGGAACCGGGGGTCGGTGGCATTGGCCATGGAAGCCAACATGGGGAGGCCTCCTACGGAGATACGCAGCGGGTTCATAGGCTCATTATGCTCAAGTCGAGTATAGCCTGGAGAAGCAGGCATGGGGGAACCAGGCTTGGAGTGACCTACAGAAAAATAGAGAGAATGTGAGTTCACTGTCAGAGAGGCCACTGGAAAATACTTCAGTCTGGTTCTCTGGTGTCAACATGGAGGTTATCGGAGATCCTTTTTTCAGCACCAAGCCACAGTGAGGTCATCTATTCACATAAAGTTGCTCTAGCCCAGGTGTGTCGAACTCCAGGCCTCGAGGGCCGATGTCCTGCAGGTTTTAGATGTGTCCTTGATCCAACACAGCTGATTCAAATGGCTAAATTTCCCCCTCAACATGTCTTGAGGTTCTCCAGAGGGCTGGTAATGAACTAATCATTTGATTCAGGTGTGTTGACCCAAGGTGATATCTAAAGCCTGCAGGACACCGGCCCTCGAGGCCTGGAGTTTGACACCCTGCTCTAGCCCTTACGAAATGAACACGTATCATACCTGTGAGCAAACACCAAAACTACAACAATGGGGTTGGTTGATCCTAAATCCCGAGCAAAGGTCGCAACCTCGGCTCGTAGTTAAAACACGACTTTCCAAAATGCCAACGCAAAAGTATTAACAAAAAAAATCGAAAAACGCCAATTGGTTTTTTAACCAAAAGGCTCATTTTCGTCATTTCTCTTAATCCACAAATGAGAGAATGAACGCAATTAAAATAATTAACTTCAACTTACACACTTCCATAAGCGATGGCAGGCAGATGACTCATTTCAGGTTATAGCTTCATTCTTTTTTTTTGGTTTAATTATCCTACTAAGTGTTAGAGTCAGAGCGGAAAAAGGGAGTCCACTGGTTGAACATTGATTGCTTAGAAGGAGGAAGAAACGGCTCTAGGTGAATATCAAATACAAATACGGGCCATCAAGCGCCCGACAATGAGACTTGTCGACGTGGTGATGGGAGGAGCTTGCTCTGAGGTAATAAGAGGGCGGCTGAACAAGTTATTCAGGAAGTACACAATCACTGAGCAACTGTCACACTGATGAGCTGTCACATGTAGTGTAATGATATGGTAAACATGAGTGTTGAAATGTACAGTGGCCAATAATTCAAACTATCTATTGATTTACTGCAGAAAGTCCAGCCGCTTTAAAGATATATTCAGACATCTTCTGTCATATCTGAATATATCTGATTTTTTGTGTGCGTGAGCCGTTGTTCAAATATATAAAGATGGCTGAAGAAGGACAGAGAGTACAAATTAGTCATTCAATAAGCTGTCAGAAAACTGAAAAATCCTGCCCTACCAGCTGTCCAAAAGCCCATTGTATTCATTAAAAATATATAAAATAAAGATTGTTACAATTGGATTAATCTGTCAGGACCTTCTGTCCCTTCTTCCCTGTTTTTATTTCAGGTAAATCATCCAAACTTGTGAAGTTTTCACCCCTTTTTGAATTGCAGCGTCCTAAATATTTTGTTTTCGGATAAAACACGTGATAGTGAGATAACAGATAAACAGCGGGATTAATTGGGAATAATTTAAACAACGCATTTTTATTTTACTTTACAAGCTCACGTACAGCTGAAAGGCCTGTAACTTGGGAAAACTACATTCCTGTTATTTGCTTACACACCCAATAAACTAGTGCGTGTGACCTTTCAGCTGAATCAACACAACCCAAACACAGCAGTGGAACTGTCCGCTGTTAGAGGGTCTCCTGAAAAGCTCTGCAACCCTAAAGCTCCTCTGAGCCCAGCTGCCGCAGGATCATACCCCGAAACCTGAACGCGTTTCTTAAAGGGGAGCAGGAGCTGAAAGGCTCTTTCATACGAGGGCCCTGAGCCAAACAGCCGTCCGTTGTGGCAGCAGCATCGGGTCTCCCTCTCTGAGGCCCGCCACTGTACCTAAACTCAGTGAGTAGCTGAGAATAGAAACAGTGTTGCTGATTGACTGTTGGTGTAAAAATTACTTGTGCCCCACAACACAATCAGATGACGCGGCTTACCCCTTCGTCTCCTCCTGCCCGCACGCTGATCCTGTGTCATTAAGTTTACTCCACAGGTCCTTCCACAAGTAGTCCTGAGCTCGAAAGCTGTCTTTCTCCCCACTGATCATTTGCACTGCAACCATGACTATGTTGTTACAAAGCTTGTGAACTTTACCTACACTTGGAGGATTATCACCAAGTCCAAAGGGGCAAAGCCTTTTGAGAGACAACGCAGTTCATTCAGTTTGTTATTAATCACCGCCTATGAATGAACAGCTACCGAGGGTTACGAAAACCTTTATTAAGTGCTCAGCAACTATCGGCATAAAGGTGAAAAGCCACAGCCCTGGACATATGAATAGAAGTTAGCTGCAAACCTACAATCAGAGGCGTTCCTGTAATGTAATCATTACACTGAGGACTGCGAGCAGCATAGTCGCACAGGAAACCTCACTGACTCTGAGACGCAGTAATGTCTGTTAATAAGTGATTAACACCTTCTGGACTTTAGTTGGAAACATGTTAAGAGCACAGACAGCTTCTTAAAAAGCAACCTTTCAGCTTCTCAGCCCGATACTTTCATGTTTCAGATTCCCCACGCAGTGAAGATGACCTAATAGACAAGACTACAGCGCTGGGTGATAAGAAGACACTTAAAAGTTTGGGATGAATTTGAAATAGCCTTTGTTTTTAAAGAAAAGCACAGACGTTTCCCTCTAATATAACACTGAACTGCTTAGAATTGGCATCCTAGCTGATGGTGATGATGGTGAAAGGCTGCTCATTGGAATGATCACGTTCCACTTAGTTAAAAAGCTGACGGCATTTCTCCTAAAATGAACCAATAGATTTGGCTAGTTGTGTCTCTGCAGCTGCACCGCACCTCAAAACATCCGTTTAACAACATCAAACAAGCAAAATTAAAAACGTAAGAGTTCAACCTGAGCATCAGAATGGGGAAGAAAGGTCACTGAAGTGCCTTTCAACTTGGCATGGTTGCTGGTGCCAAACTGATGATTTTTCCACACAACCATCTCTAGAGTTGTGATCCCTAGAGGATGGTCCACAAGGGAGAAAAATACCAGTGAGTGGCAGTGGGTGGAAATGCCTCTCAGAGGAGATTAGTCTGGGCTGCTTCAAGTCGTTAAATGAGCACTTATTGGAAGCAAGGTATGCATGTCTGAATGCACAACACATTGCCCCTTGAAGCAGACGGGCTACAGCAGCACAACAAGTGAGATAAAGACTCCAGGAACACTTGTGGCCTTCATCGGGGTCATTCAGGCCACAGGCCGAAATGTGTTGGCCTGCTAATAAAGTTGTTCCCTAGTGTTTCATGTGTTGCTGGAGTCTTCACCTCACCAGGTCCATAGTGTGCCATGGACCTCTTCACGCACCTTGGAAGTAGGTGAAGTTGTGCCAGAAACGTTTGGATCTCTACAGCAGCAGAAGACCACACCAGGTGTCTCTCCTGTCAGCCAAGAACAGGAAACTGAAGCTACGGTTTACACAGGCTCACTAAAACTGGATAATAGATCAGAAGAATTACAATCAGACACATTATAGTCAAGCATTTTAATCTGTGTTTGCAGGTCTCTAAGTTACTTGAATAATTTAAAGTTCTCTAAACCCACCCCTGCCTGGTAGCAACTGTGCATAATGTTGAATGAGTGTCCTTTCAAGCGCCTCTCTGACCATAAACTTGCCTCTGTGCTCCCATAAACGATGACATCTGGTAAGGCTGACCTTCAAAGTGTGTGTGAGGCCAATAAACACTTTTACTGAGTACTTTAACTCGGGTTTTAAATGCCCTGCGTGTCAAGGAGCCACAAACAAATGTGCATCACACACTATGGACCTGATGTTACGTGGTTGCGCTGTCTGCAGATTCCCAGAAGATAACAGAAGCTGCGGGTGAACCAGGACAATACCCAAGTTTTTATTTCCAGGCCTTTAAGCGCTGAGACACTAAACCTGTAAGGGAATTAAATGTCTGCCGGACCATCATAGTTGATTTTCTCGGTGAAGAAGGCGAAGCTTTTGGACTGACACACGCAATCATCTCATTTGCAAGCGTGCTTTTAGCTGCTGTGGCTCTCTCCTGCCAGGAGCGCAGAGGTTAAAACGCAGATGCCGTCAGTAACGGCCACCTGAAACGTTTCCGATCAAACCCCTCCTCCCGCTTCGTTACTCACCGCAGATGTGGGATCTTCAGCTCTCAGTCCGCCGGTGGTCGGAGCTTGGATGTCATTATTGTGTCGCTTCCTTCCTCGGCCCCTTTTCCTCTTTTTGCGTTGTCCGGACAGCCGATCATTACTTCCTATGTCAGTTTGATGACGACAGCACCATGTCGTGCTTACGTGTAGTCGATGCAGAGGGAGGGGGGAGAACGCTGCCTTCAGGGGCTGTCGGAAATATGATAACTTAAAGTTTCAGCCTACCTGTGAGAATTATTATACTTTAATAATGTTTTATGGATTTCTTTAGAATTTAATTTAGTTTTACATACATTAAATAATGCAAAGAAAGACCAAAATTTAAACATGTCTCTCTATTGGTGAAAAAAAAAACAGAATAAGGAATACAAAAGAGACTTTGAGATGTTTCATTTATCTATTTAAATATTGTGTGTTGTGGATGTTATTTTTTACGATGCATTTTAGAATCTTTTTTTATGTTATGGGTTGTGTGGCTGCTACCTTGGCCACGAGATCACATCTATCTTTGTTTCTTTTACAGGTTGTGTTTATCACATTTAAGAAGTTCAGGACATGTGTCACATACACACTTTGCTCAAAGGTATAAAGGCTTTATACCTTTATGCATGCAAGCCTTTATGATAAAGGCTTACAGTACTGTAAGAGATAAGCTACTATTCCATGTTTATTATGATTCATATTATTGGATAGAGAAGACAGGTGTTAGAATATGAGCATTCACTCTAGATTTTGTGTAGATTTCTCAAATAAAAGTATAAACCGGTGTCTATTTAAGTTTGTTACAATGAAAATTCTGCCGTAATTAAGACAAAAACCTAACTTTTAATATATTTCTTTTCTTTATTGCAGTTCATTTGTAATTGATATTTTTATTTTATCCTGTTTTAAGCCTTACTTTTTAAAAATCCCCTTCAGGGTTGCATCAGGAAGGACTGCTGTAAAACTCAAATCAAACGTGGAGCTTCCCGTTGTGGTCTCCTCTTAAGACAAGGGAGCAGCTTTCACTTCTACTTACTTTTATTTTAACCTATAATGTATTACTCAAATCTTAGTACCACAGTTGTTGTCTGGATCCTGCTGTCTCCACACCTCAAGTGTTCCTCCACATTTACTATTCAAATATTTGACAAAGGGGCAGAGGCAGGAACTACACACAGTCTTGGCTTTTTCTTTTAATGAAGTCTGACTCAGAGTTTTAAAACCTGTTTTTATTTGGCACACTCCGTCTGATACAGGATCACTGTGCAAGGCACTTTAATGAGGAACATTTGCAAAGCGGTGACAAAGCAAAAGTGCAGAGGAGAAGAAAAAGTAATGTGGAAAATGATTCAATTTGATTGTCATGTACCTGAATTTAACAGTATTAAAAAAGAAAATAAATACCAAATTTGCCACAACATCAAAGAATTGCTAAACCTATGGCTGAGACATTTATGGCATTGATTACTTTAAAAATCCTAAGCAAAGAATTCAACAGAAGAATCCAATATAAATCAATCAAAACACCTGTAAAAGCCAAACTATAAAAAGAAACGAATGTGACAAATTAAAATGTCAAACAGAAACAAACTGAGTTTTTCAGTGCATGAAAGCCTATTTAGTGGTTGATTACTTAATAAAAAGACACAAACACGCGGCATTACAGTAGTTATAGACTTCCGATACTTCTGATCTACCAACTAAACGAATAATATGAGTTTGCAATGTGGTGAAAGAGCAGTATGTTTGAATTGCAGTTATTGAAGTAAACAATAAACAGTTACATATTCAGTAAAAATTTTCAATGCAAACCAGATTTCCTAATGAACTACACTAAGTCTAACCTTTCTGATAATTAGTGCTTTGATAGGAACAGCAGCAAACTGCACTCGCAATAGTAACTAAAGGAGGCACTGAAAAATCTGCAGCGGTTTTGGTACAAAGGCAACTCAGGCGTGGCCATGCTCTCTCTCTCATTTTTTTTTTTTTTAACCAAGACAATCACCTGCTAGCAAATAAAAGAACATCTTTAGACTTTACCCGCTGTGAACAACACAGCAAAACTTCCACCATTGCAGGAAACTAAAAAGATATCAGTGCACCCAGAAAACCAAACGCGTTCAGCAGGAACAGAAGGGGGAGTGCACAGAACGGTCCGGCTCTGTAAAATAAACAACTGGCACACATATTTAAAAAGAAAAACTTCCTCATTTGATTCCTGCCTTTGAATCTTAGTCTTTCAATAAGATGGAGGCTGATACGCTCCTGGAGTCTCCTGGGTGTTGGAGAAAGGTGACTGCTGATAGCCAGAGGGCCCGCTGGTGCTGGAGTAGGGGCTGCTCTGGTAAGGAGCATTGTGGTCGTTGGCTGGGTCTCTGTATTCCTGCTCGAATTCATTCACTCCTTGGCGATACCTTGCAAGTGCAAAGTAGGTCAAAAGGCTCTGTAGAGAGAACTTTGAATTAGTGCTAGGATCTTTTATCACAGCAAATTCAAAGCTAACGCGAACTCTGCCTCAGCCTCACCCAGGTGATGATCGAGAAGAAGGAGAAGGCAATGACACCTCGGGCAGCGTCGGCCACGACTTGTTCGTTTGTCGTCTTGGACCACAGGCTCGTCAGGACGCAGAAGCAGATGAACCACAGGAACGTCCACACCGCTGTCAGGTGTTCACAGGAGAGAAACATGTTTCATGTGTTAACTTTAAGTCTCACTTCCTGATTTATGGCACAGTTCCTTCATTAAACTATGTGGTGAAAAAATGAAAACCAACTCTTACCAGAGAAAGCAAGATCACTTATTACAATGTGTTTTCGGTCTTTGGCATTGCTGATGTTCGGGAAGTAGGCATCTAGCATGAGGAACAAAACACAAGCCAAGAAGGCCAAGACTCCGACTCCCACCCCGTAACTGCAAGCACTGTCAGAGTTGTGGAACATGCACTCGTTTTCATCTTTTTCCTTCGTGTTGGTGTAGCCTTCGGCTGTGATGGTTGCAAAAACCACGATAGAGAATATCTGCAAAGACGGGACACAAAAAGGTCAAGGCCAAGTTTAAGCCACGCAGCTATGGAGTTTGCGAAATTACCATGACTCACATTACAAGAAAGCTTCTTTAATCAAAAAAATAATATCTGTCAATCCAATCTAAACAAGTATAACGCCACCTTTTCAGCTATTCGTGACCCACATCCCCTTTTTCATAACACAGCTAACATGAAAAACATTACACAATTACGTGACACAAAATGAAAATACTACTTTTAAAAGGCAACCGAATCACCGAGTCACTGTTCACTCATGTTCTAGCTTCTTAATTCATGAAGACTTCATGCATTTTGTATGATTTTGAACAGGTTTTAAGCATTCTTATAAATACTCTACATGAAGACATCTGAAGAGAATATGAACTTATGGACAACCATTTGCCTGCAAAACCATGTTGGTTTTATTTATAACATTTGAACACTTAAACTTTCCTACATTAGTTATTATAGTTTTGTATTCTTTTGAATTGTATTACATAGTGACTTTTCATTTTTCTTTCGGTTTAGTTTCAGTTAGTTTCCAGACTGGATTGACTTATTGCAGTTTACTTTATATTGTTTGAAAAGGTTTTAGTTTAATATTTATAAATTTCAGTGCTAGTTTTAGCCTTTGTTTTGATTATTATTGTATGGAGGGTGTATGTCAGAAGCGAGATTTAGGAAAATCAGTGCAGTAACCTTTTGAAAACAGTTGATTCATAGTTTTAGTTAAATAAAATATCCTTGTTTTCTACCAGTCTTGTTCACAGATGTAGGTTTTCACTAATAGGCCCACTGAACTTAAATGCACTTACCGGAAAGCAAATACTGTAGCACAACCTTTACTTGTCTGTTTTCTGTTAGTATTGCTTTTTTTCTTGCAAAGCACTGTGAAGGTATGCTTTAGTAACACTGCATACTTAAGCTTCCACTGCAGTGCCTGCACATTAAGCATTTCCAATCACCTGACAACTGGAGTTGACTTGACAACAGATGACGGCGGAAGCTTCAATTTCTGACAATTATCTAAACTATAAAACTACAAGAAAAAAAGCAAACAACTCCTGTTGTTTTAACCTGTCTCGTTTTTAAACCACGGGAACACAGAAACTTTAAATTAAAAGTCTGCAGATCGCTTATCATCATGTGGCAGTTAGTGTGGTGACACAGCACTGGTCAGTTGCTAGTTATTATTAGCTACCATCAACCAGAGCCACAGAAACACCTTTTTTTACACTTTACTGAAAGCTCATTAAAATGTTTAAACGTGACACTCAGATAATGTCCCGCGTTGACCGCACAAAAAGCTAAAAAAACAAAATTTTCACTAATTTGGGTGGGCGCTGGCAGCGCACATCTGTTAAGCTAAACTCAGTGCAGTGACAGCTGGCTAACTGTGATGCTAACGTTTCCGTGAAGTCACTCACCCAGCTCAGGAAGCGCAAAATAGTTTGAGGCTGTTTTAGAAAGTTCGCTAAATCAAAGGCGCCACCGGCCAAAGAGGCCCCGTAAGCACTGTTCTGCATTTTCCCCGTGAAGAAAACCCCGACAGTCAGACAGTTTAAGGACAAACTGACAAGTCTTCCTGTCACAACTGCGGCAGTTTCGATTTGTCAAAAAAACTTCCTCAAAACTTTTTTAACGCCGCCCCTGCGGCGATGCGTTCACGGGACTCCCGGAAGTTTAAATCCTCAACGCCGTGGATCTTACGGAGGCCGTGTTATTATGTAAACCTTGCTTTACCGTGTTTGGTGTTCAAGGCCCCTTTTCCCACCCAGAACTGCTTTAATTCTTCATGGTACAGATTCAACAAGGTGCTGAAAAGATTTTAGTGCATATTGACATGATAGCATCACACAGTGGCTCCAGATTTGCAAGCTGCACATCCATGATTCGGATGAACCAATCATGTGAACGATTCGAACACATCCCAAAGGTGCTCATTGAGCTAAGATCTAATGACTGTCGAGCACTGAATGTGAGGTAAAGAAACCAGTTTAAGATGTTTCTGACCTTTACCTGTCAGAAGATGGTAGTCATAAAGGGATGGACATGGTCAGCGAGGTTATGGCATTTAAATGATGCTCAGTTGCTACTAAGGGGCCCTAAATCTGCACAAAAAATAAAATAAATAATAATATCCCCACACCATTACACCACCGGCAGTAGCCTATACCACTGATACAAGACAGGCTGGGTAGACGCTTTCATGTTCAGAAATCAAGAATCATCAGTCCAGGTAACAGCTGTCTCGTTTTCTTGAGCCTGTGTAAATTGTAGCCTCAGCCTCACGTTCTTAGCTGAGCTGACAGGATGCCCATGGGGTCTTCTCCTACTGTAGCCCATCTATGCCAAGGTTCAAAGTGTTGCGTGCTCTTCTATATACCTTAGTTGTAACAAATGGTTATTTGAATAACTTTTGCCACAGATGAGCACAAAAAAAAAAAATCCCTCATCAAAAAAAAAAATCTAATACATTTTTACACAGCTGCATATCTGTTACATTTTTACGTGCTGATTTTTTTTTCCATTTCACACAAACACTCATAATCAACAGATTTCTACTAAATTATCACTTCACACTGAGATGAAAAAAGAAACTGTTTTGCAGAAAGGGCAGGATCAAGTGTCCCTGAACCCTTCCTTAGTTCTACTGCAATAGTGCTAGGGTGCTGGGGGCTTTCTACGATGCAATTAGTTTTCCGTTTTCAGTCACCCATGCACCTCTTTGTATTTAATCATTAGCTATTTTGATTGTTATATAATAATAGACAGAAGACACCTGATTGTTTTGGGGTTCTCTCTATTATTGCAGGTCTTTACCTTACAATATAAAGGCAATTGTCATGATTTGGTGCTATATAAATAAAACTGAATTGAACTTAAGAGAACAAAAGGGCAAGTATTTGAGCACCACCAGGAGTCTATCTGCCTATCAGCTCCAAGCAGCCTGGATATTCTTCTTTGGCATCAACGAACAGTGCTGGGGTCTTAACTCAAAAACGAATGCATACACCTGCGCTTTTGTGCAATAAAAATAAAGATACTGTTCACATCTCCACTCCTCCCCTTTGCCATCCGTTGACTGTAGTGCAAGCGCACAAGGAGAAAAAGGCATGTTTGATTTTTATGTTTTATTCCTTTGCGCCTTTGTAACGGAAGTAATGACATCACTTTAAAGTGGTTACTGAATTTAGTACAGCATTACATTATTACCTCAGTGCTGTGTATTTATTGTCCTTCTGCATTCAGTTCTCATCTGATCTCTTCCTTTCAATAATTAGCTTATTTTTGCAAGGTTTGATTTATTTGTGTCCTATATTAAAGGACTGAAGGTATTGTGCTAGTCCCTCAAATTCACTACACCAGAGTGAGAACGGTCATTTCTAAAACAAGCACAGGGCTGGAAATAGCCATTTAACCATGAAGTAACCAATCATAATACTATTCACTCACCCACTCATAGGTAACCAAAAGGTCACGCACATTGAAACAAATTACAAAGCACAAACTATTTGCCAACAATGGTACAAAAATAATTATACAAGAAACAATGACATATACTCTCAAATGCATGAAATACAGTACTACAATACATTGGTTTTGACTTTATTTCAAAAGCCTGTATATTTTTTCCTGCAACTCATTTAGCTTCCTAATATAATGTTGTAGTTTGTTATTATGACCACTGGAGGGTCAACCATAACTCAAAATGCTCATCTTATTCTTCCAGATGTCTTGAATGCAAATACAAATGTTTCCAGTGGAAAAAAATGAATTAGACGTATTTTCTATTATTGCTGTTGTGATTGTGTTACAGTTATTCATATACTTTGTCCCCATACAAAGAATGGTCATGAAATGTTATAGCAAACAACTGAAAGGAAACATTTATGTCTTTAAAGAGTCAAGAAAGACTAACCTAACCTCCTCCTCTTTGCTCTGTATTCATATTCAAATGATTAAAGAAAAAAAAAGAGATCGTAAATCAGGAAGTTGTTAATACCCCAGCGGCTATGATAAAGGTTGTGGCAGGATGTCACAAGTAGCAAAGCAACACTGTGAGGTTATCACAGAAGAAGTTAGACAGTGTGACAAAATAAAGCATCATACTCATTTGCAGATAGTTTATTTTCAGAAGTGCAACACAGCACTGCTCCACTACACAGCAGACTCGTGTTTGAGATAAACGGTGATCATCAAAAACCATGGATTACAATGTGAACATTTGTGAAACAGATATCGACTACGAGTAAGTCTCTTTAAAAAAAACAACTATTTTATATATATAATATATATAATATATATATAATATATATATATATAAATATATATATATATATTATAATTTTTTTTTTTTTTTTTTAAATATTTTTCTGTGACGTAAGTAAGAATAAAGATGTATTTCCTATAGCACCTTTCCAGGTAAAATTACAAAGTGCTTCACTTCAGATAAAAATAGCAAAAAGGGGGAATAGACAATGAGACACAATAACATGCTACCTAAACTCTAGTTTGCAGTTTATTAATTTGGTTTGTCAGAGAAAAAACATAATGAAACTGTTACCACAAATCAACATTAATTAGATTAGGGTATTTCCTGTAAACATGTTATTTATGCACTAGTTTGCCTATAAAAACACATAATTCACATGTTCAAGGCCTGGGATAATAGGTGATGCGTTTAATGCCAGAGGAGTGCCGAGTGTCTGTTTTAACCATGACTAACGAGGAACACACATTTTCTCTAGTACAATTTAAAAATGTCTTGTTACACAGCTGATACAAACAACGCATACGAGCCTGAGGAGCAGAGCTTTTTCTAATCCGAACATTTTTTAAATAATCAAATGGAAAGTCTTTTACAGACGTAGCTTCTCATTGGTTGAAAATGGTTGAAGTAAACTGTAAATAAACAACAAACACAGACAGGCTCCTTTTGTTTTACTTTTAGTAGCCTACATGTCCAATCTGTTTGGCTGCTGAAAGTCAGTCTCAAAGTTAATATTTGCTGCCTCGAATCCAAATCTCACCTGTGTGGGGTTTGAACAATCAAAGTCTATGCTGTACAGAGGGCACCGTGGGAGAGAGAACATCTATTCAGAATTTCCATTTCCAATGATTCTGGGAAATAAAGCAGTCAGCCACTCACAGGTGTTCAGGTTTACATTATACCTTCCGTATGCAACGTACGCCAAAACAGCCTGTTGAGAGAAATTTGAATTAGTACATTAATTGTTCGCACAAGAGATTCCAAACCAACTGTGAGTTGTACGTCAGACATACCCAGGTGATGATTGAGAAGAAGGAGAAAGCAACGGCAGCTCGGGCAGCATCGGCCATGACATATTCGGAGTTAGTTCTGGTCCACTGGTTGAGCAAGACACAGAAACAGATGAACCACAGGAAGGTCATAGCCGCTGTCAGGTGATTCAAAGCAGAGAAACAAATTCAGGGGAAAAGATTACAGCTGATGAAAGCTTCAAGTTATGACAGGCTGCACTTCCTTCTTTTGTACTCTTTTGTTCCTTTAATGAACTAAATGGCATAGCAGTTAAAGCTGACTTACCGGAGAAGGCCAGATCTCCTTTGACAATGCGATCTTTCGCTGTGGCACTAGAGATCTTTGAAATGATGACGTCCAGGATGGGGAACACAACACAAGCCACAAAGGCCAGGACTCCAACTCCCACCGCATAGCTGCATGCGCATTCATTGTTGTTAAACATGCAGGTGGCATTTGTTTTACTCGTGGGGCTATAGTAGCCTTGGTCTGAGATGGTTCCAAAAACAACAATGGCGAATACCTGCAAAGTGGAGACACTCAGGGTTCAGTCCCGGGTGAAGTTGCAAGATCATGACATTGCAGCATTGCAAGATTATGAAATTGCAAGAAAGCAGTCTAAAAAAAGAAAACAAAATAGAGACGCCTTTCTGAAGAAGTAGAGCTCTGTCAACATCAACTTGCTTGCCTACACAGAATATCAAACATAAAATAAACATGTTTGACATTTGTCCGGAAAAAAAATATTCACATAGTCCTGTAGGTGGGGCACTGCTCTGGACTACAGATCGGTGATTGCAGAGAGAAATCAAACTACTAACCTTCCACCTGTTTTACCTCCTCCTGCTGCAGCCACGGCAAACACTAAATAAATATATGAATATAAATACTTTAAAGCATTGACTTCCTTGTTTGTGATAGTGTTGATTTGCATCTTTAGTTGTCAAGTTATTTTTATATAGTCAATTAGCTACGCTTACTATTGTATGGTTAAGAGAAAGTGCTGCTTAAAATTTTGTGCTATGAAAAAGGAAGCGCACCTTCTCTGACTTTTAAATGTAAATTTCAACTACAGGAGCAAAAAACTTTAAAGCCTTTAAGACATGTCACTCATCATCAGGTGGCAGTGTGGTGACACAGGATTATTTGCTACTATCGGTCGTTGCATAGTTTACATTTAATTTACAGTTAATTAAAATGTTTAAACCTGTCTACACTGGGTGTTCATGCCTCATGTAGACAGGTTTAAGCACATATATCTAAAAGCCTGCATTAGTCACTACTTTGCAGTGAGTAATGTGGCTGGCTAACTCTGATACTAATATAATTTCACTCACCCAGCACAGGGTGCGCAAAACAGTCTGTTTTATAAATCTCCTCCAATCAAAAGAATCATTATCCAATGAGGGTAGATTGCCAGTGTTTTCCATTTTACTCCACAAAAATTGCCTATCAGACAGTTTTAAGTTAAAAAGAAAAGCCTTCCTATTACAGTTGGGTACTTTCGATTTGTTGAACAATCTTGCTGAAAAGCACCTCGTAGGTGCCGTGGAAACTGGCCTTACAACATGCTATGCATTAGTGTGAAAAAAAGAACAGGTTAATCTCGTTTGCAATGCATCTGCCAAGTGGATGAAAAGTTGTGAAAATGATGAACACGACACGCACACGCATGCGGAGATGCCAGGCTATAACTGACAGTGTTTCTACTGTGTTTTTATTCTTTTTTATCCACATCTGCTTTTACTGCATTGTTGTGCTTAAAAATGAAGCCATTGCCAATCACAGGTTTTCCAGATTGCAGTTTTGCATGGTGATCAAAACCTGACGACACTTTTCTGTGTTCGTAATTCCATCAATTCTAGCAAAATGCCCAACACAAAAAACGTAACCTATGGTCGAGCCGCCACTGTGTTTTAGAACTCTAAACACTCATATCTGCACCTCTGTCGTTACGTCTTGCGTACATGTTAACCATGATTTGAACCAAAAACTTTCCAATCTGGGTTCATCGCTCCATCAGACCTGCTGCCACTGATTTTCACTCCACTTCTTGTGCAACTTGGCATATCTCGGACAAACACTGAAAACATTTCTGATGAGGTTTCAGTGAATAGAAGATGGATTAAATAAAGTTTCGAATGCATCTTTTAGGTCCTGTTTTTGGTCTTACTTCGAAATTTTTTCTATTTTTTATGGATTTTCAGATCCTGTCCATTTGCTGTATATATTATTTCCTTTTCCTTTTACGCTCGCTGCTTCTTCTTTTGTGGTCCACTTGTTCAATTTCCTCAAATTCGTAAGGACTCACTGACCAACATGCAAAGGTATGCTTTTTTAAGTTTTCAGCTAATATATAGCTGTTTGAGCTAAAATATACAAGAGCCTAAAGATACAATTTAAAATGGTCAGTCGTGGTTGTTTTCTGAGTTGTCTTTTATGTGTGGACATAACGCTGTTTCCTCACTTGAGTTAGGGGCCATTTTTATGCATAAATGATGCAAAGTTAAGAGTTAGGCGGCGTAACAGATGAAAAAAGCACTCCCCTGAAAATAAGTGAAAAAGCAGCCAATGTCCAAAGAAAAACTCCAAAAGCTATTCATATAAAACAACATGAGCTATAAGTCCTCTTCATGTTGGTCAAAGGTTTTGGGGACTTTTGGTCATTATTCTGTTTACTCCCTTGTAGGAATCTGGCAGATGGAGAACCAGCTCAGGATTTCTCCTTCAATCCCATCAATGAGCCAGAAACCAGCACCCAAAATTGCCCTGAAATACTGGAGATGGAAGTCTTTAAAGAATGCACAGGTACAATGACTCAGTGTTTGCTGTTTACACCCCAGCGAAATGTTAGAATCCAATTTCTATCTGTAGTTTTATTTTTGATCTACAGATTATAAAACCTATAAAACCTATCATTTCGTAGATGTACAGTCAAACAGAAGCAGTTACACGAGTGACGAATCACACGACAGAGAAGAGATCAGCCATCTGCAGAGACACGGCTGGTCGGCTGCAACGGTAAAGGTGCTCGCCTCGATGCCTAGTCGCACTGCAGGTGAGGGGAAAATCTCTCCGTGCTGTCTAAATGTTTGCTAGGATTTATTCACACGTGTTAACTACAACATTTGTTCAAAACGAAATTCCTCACCCACACAGAATTAAATAAATCCCGGCGAGTGCGATATCAGGCCTCATCCCATGAATCTCCTCACCTCTCCAGACCAGTCCAGGGTGCCTCTGTTCTGGCAGAGGCGGAGGAAATCAACACTGAAGGTGCCATTTGCTATTTTTTGACAGGTGTTAACAAGTGTTTTCGTTCTACTTTTAACCCTCTCACTACAGTGAGATCTGACCTCTCTTATTCCACAGATTCCAATTTGTGCGCCGCTGAAAATAATATGGACCAGCTGGTGTCCAGCCTCCAAGGCCTCTCAGTGAGTGAAGGCACCCGCAAGCTGCGAGCAATGCCACTTAGCTTGGCAGATAAGATCGAAATCCGGTATGTGAGACACAAACCACTGGCGTGACCAGAGGAGTCGTGCAATGGAAATCACAATCAGTACTTTACGTCATCTTCAAGAATCTTAGAATCTATTTGGATGGCGTCTTACCATTTTTCTCCCTATCTTCTTCTAGAAAAGTTGCTTTCAGTTTAAAAACTGAAAGTTCATTCATCGGCAGAAATATACCCTGCTACACTCATCTAAGCATGTACATTTCAATGGTAAGTGCAAACAGCGTACACAGTGATAAGATTTCGCCATGTGTATAGGCGACACGCTCATGTTCCTCTCCCCTCAGACTTGGCGCCACTGCCTCTTTAGCTGCCTGCCCGTCTTCAGTTCGTTCAAATTGTGGCATTCAGCCTTGAAGACACTGAGCGGACGTTACGGAACCGGTGTGCTGTCCTACTTCCTTTTTCTGAGAACACTCCTGTTCCTTAACCTTCTCCTCTTTGTCATCACTGGCTTGTTCCTAATCATCCCACAAGCCATCAACCCTCCTCACAGTCCTAAAGCAGACTTCAGTGGTATTGAGCTTCTCACGGGCACGGTGAGATGGCTGTACATCATGTCCCAGCTGTATTTACAAGCTTATTTCAGCGACAAAGAAACCAGAGCTATCTTTAATGTTTTCTTTGACAGGGCTACTTTTCTGACAGCTTGATGTTTTACGGCTATTACTCCAGTGAAACGTTACCTGGAGACCAATACCGAATGCCAGCAGCCTATTTCTTTACCATCGGCTTCACCCTCTTCATTATCTGCATCATCCTTGTGTACAGGTTGAACTCTAACTCAATTACTTATGCTTTAATTCTATTTTTGTTGTGTCTTTTTTTTATACTGTTTTTTTGGGGTTTTTTTTGACAGGTTGTCCAAATCCTTCGGAAAAAACTTTCAAGTCCTCAAATCGAACAAGAATCTGGCTGTGAAAGTTTTTTCTTGCTGGGACTTTAAAGTGAGCAAGAAGATATCTGTCAGACTCCAGTCTGAGAAAATCAGCACTCAGCTCAAAGTACGACCTTATATGAATACTCACTGAAGCGTGAAACGTTTCTTTTGGTTCTTGTTTTGTTGAAATTATTTTTAAAATAGACCAAACCAACCAAGTTATTTAAAAAGGGTTTCTTTACACTGAATGCTCTCTTGATGATTCTTAGCAACAAGTATTTCAGTTTTTGCAGCAGTCTTTGTCAGTTTGACATCACACATAGTAGTGTTTGTGGTTATCGTTTGCTCACAGGAACCTGATCACATGTTCACGTGTTATGTCACCCTCGGGGCCATGTCCTTAGTTTAAAAAGAATAAGCACCCTATTCGAAAGGCTTAGTTTACAAATGGTGCTTTTCCAACAGGAGCAGCTGTCTGAGATGATCAAGGGAGAAGACAAAAAGACCTGCATGCAACAACTTCACCGCCTTATTGTTCATCTGTTGGCGTGGACCGCATGCTTAATAAGCATTTTCTTGGGCACCATAGGAGTGCACAACCTGTCAGGAAAAAAATTCAACATCAAGGTACATTGTTGGGAAAAGGAAATGGTAGCATTCATGCACAGTCAAGCACCACTTTAAGTATGTAAATTTTAATTCCCCACCCACTGTGGTTAGCTACTTCTTCTTTTCTGCTAGACCTTTTGATATCT